TTGGGTTTTGTTTCCAACCCAACTGCAGTTGGATCGAAAGATCTATTGATTTCTATCTGTTGGTTTGTTATGTTATTCTCGGATTTAATATTAGGAAATGTTAGGGTTTGCAGAAGGTGAAAGGAAAGGGAGAGGTAGAAGAAAGGGAAAAAGAAAAACAAAGAAAGAAAAAAAAAAGAAAATTTTTAAAGTAATTTCTTGCCATCTCTTTTTTTTTGCCACGCTGTACATCTTAGGTGTCAATGTTTTAACATGTCATCCTTTTCCCCGTCAAGTAACAAGACACGTAAGCGGATATTTAACGGAAGGACCAAATCGGGGTAAAAATGGTAAACAGTAAGGACCAAATCAGGTATTTTTTTAGTTCAGGGATCAAATCGGGGGTCCGTACAATAGTTCAGGGACCAAAAAGGGGTTTTAACCTTTATTTATTTTATTTTTCAATTCCCAATCCCACATAAACATTTAATAATTGATTAATATTCCCTAATTAACTAATTGATTTTCTTGACTCATTATCTTTTAGAAGTAAAAATAATTTTACTCCACTCATAACTCACATTTTGACCTTTCCTATTCTTACTTGCTATAATACTCTCAAAGATTCTAACTCTTCAAACTTCAAACTATTCTAATATTTTTTAACCTCCATAATTCTTACAGCCTTTGACTTTTAAGTTTCGACTCCACATTTTCTATTTAGTCTTTAATATTATTTCATATTTAAATCTTAATCTTATCGAGTCACCGTTGCGTTCACTCAGCCTTTTTTTTTCTCTCCTATAAGTCCGACAAATGCTTTTTTTGTCATCAACTTTTTTCTTTAAATATTTCAAGATAAATTGTTTACTTATTTAAGCTTGTTAGTTTTCTTTCCATTCCAAGTAAAAATTTTACTTGATTTTCTCCTTTACTTACTTAGATGCATTCAATTGATTATTTTTTGAAAGCAATGACCAAAACAAATATGTTCCAATGGGGTTTGTGTTTTTTTGTTGTCATGCTACTACTGCATTTTTTTTTGCTATTGAGGATTTATAAGTGTTGTGTTCTTGAATTTGATTAGTACTGTTTTTTGAAAGGAAATAAAGAAGGTGATTCTGAGAAACTATAAATATGTATATATTAAATTAATAAAAAAAATCATTTTTATAAGATGTTGAATTTTTTTTTAAATCTTTTGAATAATTTTTTGTGAATGATAATAGGTACAAATTATAGAAAAAAAAAAAGAAAAAAAATTTAATTGAGTCAACCCGCGGGTTGATCCATGATTCGTGATAGGTGGGTTAAGGTCTGCTTTCATTGGCTCGTGATCCGTTTTAACCCAACCCATTTTGACCCGTTACCCGTTCTGATCTGACCCTAACCCGTTCTGATCTGACCCTAACCCGATCTAACTCGCCTATTTACCAGGTCTACTTGTCACTGTGGTTTCTTTATGATATATTTGATATATTTAGTTTAAGGAAAACAAACGGAGGAAATAAAGAAAAGAGAAAGTGGAAGAATGATGTATTTATTTATTTATTTTATATTTAAATAAAAAAATAATTTTTAAAAAAATAATATATATGACTTTTTTT